ATAAATCAGGTCATAACTCTGATAGGAATTCATTCAGTGGCAAGCAACAGAAAATTCGACAGTGGCTTAAGCCATAAAGACAGTTAATTGTCTCACACAAAAGGAATCTGGAGATCAGCATCTGCTAGAACTAGTTTAAGGCAGGACACTGTCAAGGTAGCATCTTAGTGATTGTCTCGGTCTTCACGGTTGCAAAGTGACGGCTGTGGCCCCAGAAATCACATCCGCGTTCAAGGTACAGGATGGGGGAAATGCCAGACTTTTCAGGAAAGTGTCTTTCCTGGAAGCTGCCAGCAACTTCCCCTTACATTTCATTGGTCTGTCACCCACGATGAGTCATAATTGGGGTTTAATATGTAAAGCCCCCTCTGAAGGGGAATCTGGAAAGTGAAGTATTTGGCTATTGGTATCCTCTGGAATTGCAGCCATTCACAGGAGATGAGATTGGAACGGGGCCCTCTGTTAGCCAAACAGGGACGAGGTGCCAGAGGATGCTGGGAGTAGAACGGGTGCTTGGGAACTGATGGTCCTCCATTGTAAGCCTCTTCTTCAACCTGGAACCTGACAGTGGCTTTAAAGAAGAGGAATGGGGTTTGTTTTAAGGTACATTAGGTAGTAGCATATTTTCCCAGATATAGAAGGACCACAATGGGAGATTTTCTGAACTCCCAATTTCTCCCTGTGGCCATGTTTAGGCCTCAAGTGTCTCTTCCCCGATCCCAGCTTTGGGGAGTCTGTGCCTCCCTCACCCCCACCCGGTGAGTCTAGGGGGCTTTCCACGCCATACTTCTCCACTCCTGCGGGACTCCTCAAAGCCATTTATTAGATGTGAGTTGCTTGGAAAACAAGGTAAAATGCAGATTTCCAAGCAAAATCATTAGATCAGGCTGGCAAGTTGGGGAGGGGCTGGAACACAGGCATGTTTAGCTCACGCCGAAGATGGTCTTTGGAACGCGCTTTGAGATACACTGCCCTGGACTGCAAGGCTCACGGTGCGTGCGCCCTGAGGGCGCTTGCTCTTTGCGTGGAGAAGGCCAGTCTGCAGGAAGAGAGGAGGAGGCCTGGGCAGGCTCCCCGACTACCCCTTATTCCCTTCTAAATGTTGAGCTTCTATAACTTTAGTTTCTATCACTTACTTACATCCTTCATCTGCAATTTCTTCTGCCTGCTGCTCACCACAACACTCCTTGTATTCGTGGAATACTGATGACCTGATAGGGGCAATGACTTGTCCAAGGACATAAAACAAATGTAAGTCCACACTGAAGCCAGAACCTTTATTCTCTGACCACCAGGCCACTGTTCTGTCCTTTGAATTCTTGGGCTACCTGCAGACCTGGGGAAGTACTGGCCTGTGAACAAGGAGAGCTCGTTGATATGCAAAGTAAATCTTTCTGAAAAGATGACCCGTAATTCTCTAGAACTGGACTGTGTTTAACCAAGCAAAGTGTATGAGGCAACACGGGCCAGGCCACACTGCAACAACTAACCCCCAATCTCAGGGGCTGAGCAGAACAAGAGGGCGCTTCCCGCTCGTGCTGCACATGTAGTGCGTGTCTGTCTAGGGCTTGGCAGGCCAGGGGGGGTTCTGCCCCTGGGAGCCTTTCAAAGGTCCAGGCTAATACTGGGTTTGCCCCGACACATGCATCCAAGCTCACCAAAGCAGTGGGACATGAACACGGCGGACTGCTCATCATAGGACGTGAAGCTCTTATCTCCAAGTCACACATGCCTCTTCTGCTCATGTTGCATTGGCCGACGCAAGTCAGCTGGCCATGCCCGACTTTAAAAAAGGCAGAGGAGTACAAGTTTCCCCAGTGCCTGCAGAGCAAAGAATTAAGAAATATCGATGAGTGGCGACATTGGTTACTGCACTGAGGGGAATTCAGCAACTGAGGAGAATCTTTGAATAGAGATATAAGCTTGGCTACTTTGATCATCTAACATTAGCCAGGCACTTTGTTTGTATTGTCTTATGTGATATACATCCTGCTGGATGGAGGGTTATGCCCATTTCACAGAGTGAAAAACTGAGGATTAGAAAGATCATCCAAATGCCCAAGGTCACCTGGCCAGTGAGTGAGGGCTTCAACATTGAATCTCTCTCTCCCTCTCCGTCTTTCTCTTTGTCCCTCTCATGTTCATATTCTTAACCACCATTAAAAAATGTGTTCACCACTTTCCTTCAGAAAGACATGGAAGGGCAAAGTAGAATTAAGAAAAGACGTAAAGATTTCTCTGAGGGAATTCATTGGTCATTGAAGTATTCATGCTGTCTTTCATTAGATGGGAATGTCCAAATCAGGCTTTCTTAAAGCAGAGGAACCAGAGACAACACCAGCAAGCTCACATCAGCACAATACAACATGTAACTCTCCCACAATGAATTCAGTGTGGGGCTCAGAAACTTATCAATATTTTCTAGAGCCTGGTAGAACATGGCTGTCAAAAAAAGCTTCTGTTTTTCCCAACCCCCACTGGAGGGTTTCTTTAAAATTTGAAAAGCCATTTTAAGTAATTTAAATTACCGTTCAGTGCACATTCATACCCCTCTGTTTCCCACTGTGGACAGAGGGCCTTCTCCCCAAGCCTTTGACTCCAGGCTTAGCTGCAGGACATGGTCTGGTCGAGGCAGTGTTAGGGGGCATGATGTAAGCAGAATCCTTAAAGAATGTACTTTAATATTCTGGCTGAATTCTTGAGCTCTCTTAATCCATCACTAAAAAAGCATCACTCAGGTGGTCCTTGTGTCCTTTTTTTCATCCAGGATTCTAGAATAGACCCGTGTGGTACAGATGCAAAGAATGCAGTGCAGCCAAGCTTATGTTGCTGAGTCCCAGTTGATTACTGATCCATGAGTGTAAGAACAAATGCTATTGCTATGGGCCACTGGATTGTGGGCTGGTTCATTACACAGCATCACTAGGGCAAGAGCTGACTAATGCACCATTCATCTTGCATGCTGGTGAGAGAGGAAAGTTGGCCTCGGACATTTCGAGGCTCATTTATTTGGGCCTATTTCATCTGGAGATGTGGGGTGGATCTCCAGAGACATCAAGGACCATGATGAACTCTTGTCGTGGAAGAGTGTAGGGCTGGGGGTTAGAAGACTTGAGTTCTAATCTTGGCTCTATCTCACACTTGCTGTTTGAAGGTCGATAGCTCATTTCTCCTCTCTGGCCTTTTATTTTAGGTTAAGGGGCTGCTGTAGATGGGAAGGGCAAATACATCTAAGTGGTCCACTGAGATTTGTGAATGAAGGTTGTCCTGGGCTCTCTCACAAATTTGGAGGATGGACCCTGGCCTGGAATAAAAGTTCTATGATTGATTATTGATGTCTGCCATGAGCACAGGGTTGTGGTTTTTTTTTTTTTTGGTCCATGCCTTTCCTAATGTAGACATTGGGGACTGCAGGAGTCTAAGAAGCCAGCCTGTTGTCCTTGTGCCCTGACAGAGATCGAGTCAGAGAGAAATATGATCTCCTGTGAAAGAACAGGAGGGACTGGAGTTCACAGACTCTGTGAGGTTAGGGTGACTATTTTGTAAAATTCCTTGCATTTCCTCAGCAGAAGGCACTCTCGGTGGAGAGCTGCAGCTGTGACGGTGACGTTGGCAGGCCGCTGGGAGCACACGCCCCTCTGCCCACCAAATGGTGGGGAATCTAAGCTGACAAAATCCAGGGCTTTAAAAATTAAAGTTGATCAGGAGCATTCAAAAGGAGTGAGCAGAGCTGGCAGCTTTGGTCCCTTGAAGAGCAGCAGGTGCAAGTCCTCATAACAGGGTGATGGGTACCATTTGGTCAAGGAAACAAAATCGTGGAACCCACGGCCACTCTGAGTTGAACAAGAATCAAAGCGGAGGCATCCAGCCCTCCATTTGTTCATGCATTGTTCATAAGGACATTTAATTGGCTGCCCCTAGGGACTAGTTTTGAAAGTATCACCCCCACCGCCTTTTAAAAATATGCTCACACCTGGCATCAGAGCTCTTTCTGCAGCCTTTGGGTTAATTACCAAGCTTCATACTTTAGAGTGGCTTAGAGAACATAGACTCAAAGATTAGTCCGCATACAGGGCGGCTGTTGAAAAAGCATCTTCTTGCAAGGGTAAAAAAAAAAAAAAAAAAGAGGAGGAAAGAAAAGATCAGCCAGAATTTTGCTTAAGGGGGAAACGCTTGTTGGTTCTACTCCTTTGGAGCCTAGTTCATCCATCTGCGTGTTCACACCGATGCCTGCCGGGTCAGTGGCCATTGCTAGGCAGGCGTTCGGCCACCTTGCCTTCTCGGGGAGGCCCAGGTCATGACGCCAACTTGTGCACGTCAGGGCATCACACTGACTGGACAGGAGGAATAAAAGTCCACTGTGCAAACTCTGGGACCGAGATTAAGCTTTCCATTCAACGAAGGTTAATGACAGTTAAGGTTTGCTGAGCACTCACTGCACCCCAGATGCTGTTCTAAGGCCCCACATGGTTGGTCACCTTTAATGGTCACATCAGTGCCCGTGAGTTAGGTACTACGGTCCTGCACCCCTTGGCATCTGTGTCTGACAACCTGTTAGATAGCAGGAAGTTAAATGGCCCGTCCAAGGCCACAGTGCTCGTAAGTGTGAGGGCCGGGATATGAACCAAGAAACCAGAGTCTAAACCTTACTCTTGGGAACTGTGTTATTTGGACTAGTAGCTCCCAAAACCACCTGGAGGGCTGGTTAGGACACAGACTGCTGGACGGTGCCTTCAGAGCATCTGATTTAGCCCAGTCAGTGTTTGTAGCAGAAATCTGCATGTTACAAACGCTCAGGTGATGCTGATTGTTGCCAGTCCAGAGATTACACTTTGGGAACCACCGGTTTGGGATAATGTTGAGTGTCGGTGGCCTAATGCAATGTAAGTGTGTATTGTGCTCATACAACAGATGTGAACACCCCTGGTTGTGGGTACTTTTCTTCCCTACAGTGATTCAGGAATTGATTTCTTCCATCTTGTTGCTTTGCTTCTCCCCAGGCACACTGATGCCCAGTGGCCATGAAGACAGAAGCGAAACCACAGTGAAGAGAAGGCTTCTTAGAAGATGTAGTCCCGAAATGACATACATCACATCCGCTGCATTTCTTGGCAAGTACCAGTCACATGACTGTCACTGGCAAGAGGTTTTCTGGGAAATGTAGTCTTTATCCAGGGTGTGGATCTAAGGGCATTCCTTCCCAGCTCAGAGGAGTGATGTACTTTGGGTAGTTGAACCAAAACAATATATGGGATATTTTCACTTGTGCTTTTACTACCAGGATGTCACGACAATAGAATAACTCCCAAGTCTCTTTCATTAACCATTACGTTACTGCCTCAGTTTGCTGGCTTATTAAATGTGTGGGGGAGGTCCAAATTTCTTCACTGAATTGTGGAGGGTGTGTCAGTTAGCTGTTGCTGCGTAACAAACCACCACCAAACCCCAGCGGCAGAAACAATCGGCACTCCTTTTGCTCCTGTCTGCAGGTTCCTCGGGGCATCTCTATTCATCTTGACTGAGCTGGCGGTTGGCAGGCTGTCTGTGGGTAGGCTGGTCTAGGCTGGCTGAGTGGCTGTTGCTTCCAAGTTTAAATCAAGTGCATTTCAGACCTCTGTTTGTGTCACATCCATAAATATCCCATTGGCTGAAATAAGTCACAGGGTTAAACCCAAGATGGATGAGGAAGTCCAGTGAGCTTTGTGTTCATCTATGACGTTCAATAACAAAGGGCAAGGAAAGAGGACAAGAGGAAGAATCGGGGCTGATTTTCAATTGCTTGGGGAGTGGACCATTTTTAGTATTAAGGTGTTGTAGGAATTGGCCAAATCCAACATGTACCAAGCAAGAGTCTGAACATGTTCGACCACAGACTTCACTTATAGGGATTACATTTAAGGGACCAATGAGAGAAGTGGGAGTGATTTGGAACACAGAAGTGTCCGTCACAGCTCTATTCACACCAGCACACAATCAGAAACAACCTATGTGTTTGACACAATGGGGATGCAAGTTAATTATGACGCATTTAGGAGCTAAGATATTTGTACCTCTTACAGGTCTCATGTTTTGGGGAATATTCGACAGGAAACGTACATGATATAAGTTGAATGCAAAAAATGCAGGAGAAAGTGCAAAGGTAGTATAATCTCAACTGCTGAACATAACATACACACACACATGGACCAGAATAAAATTGACCCAAATAATAGCAGTCATCTCTAAGGGATGCAATTAGGGTCAATTTAAATTTTTTCCTTTAGCCTATTGTTTTAAATGCCACATTTTCTACCATAAACCAATATTGCTGTTTGTGAACATATCAAACAAGAAGTGTGATGTAAAAAGAATCAGTCATCCTAATTTTGAGTTGCCCTAAATGTATTTTCCATAGAGAAAGGTAAAGTCACCAGCAAGGTCTTAGAGAACATGAAGAGAAAACAGTGACATTGGATGCTGGCATAAGTCAGGCATTCAAAATAATCAAGTGCCTCGTGACACATATCAATAATTCTGACTTCTCATATAATTTTGTAAATGTCTGGACACCGACGTACATAAATAATTTTGATTACATGGCACAATTATAAATGCAGATTTGGGAAGACTGAAATTGATCAACATTATTGGGATTGACAATAAGCCCATAATGTAGCATAATGGATTTTTAAAATGCAGCATAAATCTGCTTCAAAAATACCTAGACAGCCCAGCATCGAGACACATTAAAGACTGCCACAAGTTCCTGACTGTGACTCGCACGCCAGCACCTTGCAGTCTCAGCAAGTGGAGCAGCTCACCCAGCGGGTGCCTTGCCCTGGGGCAGGAGACAGGCTGGTAGGAGCTTGCTGAAGAACACACCCATTCAAGTTGAGTGAGTGGAATCATTTTCTTATTAAAGCCAGAAAGCAGATACTAATGTCCACCCAGACTCTTCCTTCCAAAATGGAGAACCTTTTCATGAGTCAAAGGCGCTCCCTTTTTAAAGCTAAGGCTTTAAGGACAGAGCAGCTGACAGGCAGAGAGACTTCGGACACATCAGATTAGCCAGAGCCATTCATTCCAGCACTTCTAAGCCTCTGTCCCTATGGAAAAATGGGGCTGATTTTTGAGGCCAAAGCAAATACATTAGAGGGATGAATTCCTGAATGGAAGGCTCAATCAAGAACTGATGAAGTCAGGGAAGGAGGGTTTGGGGTGCCTTAGCACCCCTCTATTCTTTTTAAAAGCCAACTTGGAATCTTGTTGAGTTATTCACTGCTACTGCTCTCCTGCTCCAAGCATCTGAAAATTGATTTAAAAAAAAAACAGAAATAGATATGGAAACAAAAAAGTGATTTCAAATCCTTCATTCATTTTTTCCATTAAATGCACATGGTACATACATACCCACTGTGTTTCAGGCTCAGAGGAAGGAAACTCAAATTATGTTTAATGTGCTATTTACTTTTATAATTCTCAAGATCTCACGAGGTCTGGAACCCATAAGAAATATCAAGAATAGGTAAAACAAAACCAGAAGAAAAATATCAACAGAACTGTTTAAAGATTCTGTACCAATTTTTTTTTTTTTAGCAAATTCAGTTCAATTCATTGACATGAAATTGGGAGAGCATCTGACACGAACCAAGTCCAGTCTTTAATCTGGCAACTATTCGTCAAGGATACTGACCATGTAAATGTCTGACTCTGTAGTTGGTGTTTCGGGAGTTGAGGAACAGGAATGGATTTTTGGCAAATACTTTCTGAATGAGGCAATGAATGAAAAAAATAACTGAAGGAATAGACAGTGTTGACAAGGCCAGATCTTCTTAGCAAAGCATCCAGACACACAATCCCCGCGATCACAGTGGAAATGATCTAGCAACACTGAAGAACAACAAACACTTCGTCGGACAGTTCATGACTGTGCAGTGCATGCTAAGTATCGCTCTAGGCGCTTTACATGGGCTTATTTCATTCTCCTCTAACAAATCTATGAAGTATGTAATGTTGTTATTAAATCCCCATTTATTGTTGAAGGAAGTGACGCACAGGAGGACCAAGTACATTTCTCAACGCCACAACACTGAATGTGGCGGTCAGAATTCAAAATCGTGTGCAGTTGTCTCAGTCCCCAGTCTTACCCGCAATTCTCAGCTTCCACTAGCTGTTTAAGTTCATTCTCACAATGACCATGTGATGTGTTGTCTGCTTCCGCTAGCTGTTTAACCGTGCTAGGTAGGCTTTGACAGAACCAGAAGCTGAGGCGGAGAGCAGCGGTAACGGTGGGATCTGAACTCAGGATTAAATCAGGACATCCGTTTCTCTTCAGTAAGGTGGTCTTCATTCTCAGAGGCTGTGACTCGGGAACAGCCTTTAGGGAACTTCTGATTATTTTGTGCCTTTCAAAAAACACGGTTCAACAGATCACTGTCCTCCTTGGCGCCCATTGCATTCCTCATGGGGACTCCTTAACACACCTGAGTCCATCGAGAACCTTGGACAGCACCCACGTTTTAGGAATGTCTCCTCCGGGCTTCAGGAGGGAGGAGGCCGAGATTGTCTCTGCTGGGAAGTGAACCCACCAAGGCAGGACAGGCTTTGCTGATGAGAAAACCCAGCAGTCGGTCTGGAGGTTTATGCTGAAGCACCCACTTTACATCACTAACCATGGAGTCCCTGACAGCGACGGGGCTTGTCAACCTGCACACCAGACCTCACCGAGCAAATCAGCAGCTGTTTCCAGATAACTGGGTGTTCTGGTTTGGCAGACCCACACTGAAGACTAAACTCAGTATATCGTTCCGGTCTTCCAAATGCTCCTTTCATTAGTACCCTCGGTCCTCTACCAGGAGCAATCGTAGGCTCGGAAACCTCTTTGAAAATACAGAAATGCCTGGGAGGAGTAATGTATTTAACCAACTTCTTACACTATAATGTTCCTTCGTGAGAGGAGAGGTAGGTCAACATGAACCCACATGGATGAGAGGGGAATGTGGGGAACTCAGAGGTCACCCACACATTCTGCTTTCTAATTTGACCTAGGGACAGTCTCGAATGGGCTCTTTGTGTTTCTTCCCCCATAAATCACTTTGCCATTCATTACTTTATTAACCCAATTGATTGTTTATTGGGCTTCAGTGAGATGTCTCTGAAAATCCCACTTCCTTCTTTATTCTCGCAATATAATAAATGTCCTTCATACAAAATGTCTTGTGCTTATTGTTATATACGCGTTTTCCTTGAGGGCCAGCTCATTGGCTACAAGCACCTCATATGTTTTGTTATCATTCAAGCATGTATCACAGTTTTGAGCATAGGCAAGCTAATACATAAAAACTAAGTTTTATCAGATGGACTATATTATTAGTGATGGCGCCTGGCATTCTTTCACTTATTTATACCTTCTTCTGTCTACCTGCCTATCACCTAATGTGCCTATTCATGCATCTGTCCATTTGTCTGTCCCTCCACCCATCCACCCATTTTTCCCCCTGATATCACCCCATCAACATTTCATACAAAGCAATCACACAGTCACTAGACTAAGAGACAGTTTATAAGGATTTCCCAGATGTTGCTCTTTCTTTTATCTTGTCCTAATTTCCCTCCATCTACTGTCCTTCACCCATGGTTCTCGCCTCTGTTCCTCGTCCCTCAGGAGAGTTACAGGAATGACAATGAGACAAGTGCTGGAGGCTGGTGGGGGGGTGAATTGCTTGGTGACAGATGAAAACCTTAGCCTCAAGCAAAGTTCAGGGAAGCCCAAGGAGCAAGCTGATGGACAGTCTGACTTGTCGAGGGTGAAATCAATTAAAGTACATCAAATCCAGAATTCATGCTTTCTCAGAGTGACAAATCTGTGCTGGAAACTGAGAAAGACGAAGGGAGAAAAATGTCTTTGACCTCTTGGAGACCGGCTGTTCCTTCTGTCAGGGGAGCCGGGCCTGGAGTGAGATGCATTCATGATGAATTATAACAGCCAGCCAGCCACCTTAAAAAAAGAGCGGGGTGAAAAGGTTACCAAAGAGACCCAAAATGTGAGGAATTCAACCAAACATGGAGATAAATCAACTCGGGGGTTAGGAGTATCTGTGCCCGGCCTGGCCAGGAAGGCTCCTCC